TGATGGATGATGTCCTAGCAACTAACGGAGTTTTAGGGTGAACTCTCCAAATCTGCACTTCCTTTATTCCCAAGCATAAGGAGTGATTGGTCTAAAGCTTTATGAGAGGATCTCTAAGGGTTTGTTGGGGAAGTTGCACCTGTTTGAAAAGCTGTTGTGAAACAGATGTGAAAGAAATTGCTATTCAAAAAGTTGCAGTGTCTATTACAATATTTTTTTTAGTTTTCAAAAAGCCGGACTGCAACTTTCCGGTAGCCATCATATTTAGCTAGGTCAGAGTAAATGCCCCAAACATATTTTAAGTGTTTGCCTGAGCGGCTGGAGAGATGCCTGAAGCATATGTTGATATTGTCTATTACAAATTGAATGCAAGATATGACACTAAGTTTATCAAGCAGAAGATCAAGAAGGCGACAACTATCTTAGGAGAGCCTATAAGGCAGGAAGTCTAAATTCTCCTCAAAGTTAGTTTGTGAGGGGAAATGCCCTAAATTGGTTTCAAGTATAATAATGGTGCAAAAGTCGGGTGGCAAATGAAGCATATCCGTGAACTTTACCATTTTAAACTTGGCATGCTTGAGGGATGGTTGTCCACTCCCATGAATTGTGGCATTAGCCGATGGGCATTTGGTGTTCTTGTAACGAGCTTCCTTGATATTTTTTCTATTTATCACCATATCAGATTGTATCAAACTAATTGCAAGAAAACATCCTTTATCATTGAAGAAGATTTCTTGTGTTACAAGGTGATGCTATTCAGCTTGAAGTATATTGGGGCCACCACTTACCAATGGTCGATAGTTCAAGTGTTCAAAAATCAATAAAGAAGAAATGTGAAAATGTACATTGATGAACTGTAGGTAAAAACAAGCTCCCAAACAACACATTCTTAACTTGAAGGAAATCTTTGCCACGTTAAAGTGGTACAACATGTGTTTCAACCATTTCAAGTGTAGTTTGGGGCAAGATTGGGGAAGTTCTTAGGGTTCCGTATCCTAGGGAGCGTAACGTGAACCTCGGCATGATGAAAGTAATCTTGGATACATCTTTCTCAAAAATTGTCAAGGAAGTATGACAGCTGAAATTGGCTTGCTAGAAGAATCACAGGGCTTTTGCTTCACATTGAAGCTGGTTGATAGATGTTCACGCTTCTTTGTGACCTTGAGAAGTGAGAAGCATTTCTCCCATGGTGTGAGGAATGTGTACTTGACTCCCAACATTTAAACTCTCTTCTCTTATTATCCCCATTGCTACAAAGTAAACAAGTCAAAGAGGTTTTGTTATTATATCTTGGGGGTGAGATAAGGTCTAAATTCTATGTTGCTTTGACAAGTGACAAGGAAGTAAATTTTGATCTATTATATGAGTAAAACCTGGCCCGAACTAAGATACCAGATCATGGAGAAACTAGCATGGGCTATGATGGTTATTACTTCTGACTTCAATTGTATTTTCAAGCACACATTTTCCAAGTTATCCTCCATTATCCACTGAAGATCGTGCTTACCAAATCGAATAATTTTGGGAGATTGTTAAAATGGGCATTAGTTGGGTGAGCTTAAAGTTACATATATTGCCTATGATGGTCATCAAGAAACAAGCGTTCTTCTACTTCATATTGAACTTTGCTTTTTTTTTTTTGTGCTGAGTTGAAGTTACTAGGTAAGGAAGACTTATTGTCAGCTCTATACATTGATGGGGTGTCAGTAGAGTTAGGTGTTAGATAGGGGTGTTAATAATGATTTGACACAACTTGAACTCGTTTTGAAAACTTCAGGTTTTGGTTGACCTGATTAACTTTCAGGCTAGGCTGTCTAGAATCTTAACCCATGTAATTTTTTGTCAGCTTTAAGCTTTCTCACCAACCTGAAGTTGATCTGAATTTAACTCAAAATTAGTCTGCTAACTAGAAATTGGTTTGGCACCCTAAACTTGACTCGAATGAACCTTATATCTTATGTTAAGAAGGGTTACGCAGGTTGGGTACAAGTTTGACTATCAAACCTATTTATTTAACATGCTCGAGGGTCAAATTTGGGTTTAACTCAAACCTGATCCGTTAAACAAATTGACACCCTTGGGGTTGGAATTAGCATGGTCCTAAAGAGCCGTGTTGGGATTCTGCTAACAGACATAGTTTTGGTTGCATTCAAAATTACTAATAACTAACTAAATATAAAACCTCAAATATGGTGTTGCACTTCATGATTTGGGTTTGATCCAAACAACTTGATATTTTCTTAGACTCATAGCTCTCTGTAAATCAAGTGAAAGAATAATTTGTAGTCCACCGGGAAATCATGTAGAGTTACAATTTTAATGCAACAATGGAGATTGACCAATTATAGTATTCAACACTGAAAATATTCTAAAGGAGAAGTACCAAATTGTCGATCTACTCTCAAAGAAGCATCATAAATGATGGAGTTTGAGGGGGCAATCTCGACCAATTGGGTAGGCCCATCTGTTGTGTAATTAACAACATGAAAGACTCTACCCTTGTATCAAACTATTATAGGTTCAGAATCAAAATCACTCAATATTTGTTCAAGGCATATATATTTTTAGGATCTTAGTCGCCTCAATGAATTTGAAAAGTGTACCAGTAGAGTAGAGAGAATTTTGGAGAAGTCCACTCAAGTGTGTTGAACTTAGGCACATGATATTCTCAGGCATAGGTATTTCTAGCTAACTCTCTAAAAGGATATGAAGGATTTTCTAAAAGTACATGCAATGTCAAAAGTTTTCTTTGATGCAAATACAATTTCCTTACATGTTGCAACCCATACATGGTTTCTAGCCATTTATAATTTGAGAATGGATCTGATCAGTTATTTACCCCATCCAATAGTCCAAGAAAATTCATCTAGGTGATAATTGATTATTTTCCAACATAGATTAAGGTGAAAGTTTTGAGAAAGACCAGGGTCGAAGTCATTCTCAACTGTAGATGGCGCGACATCATTTGCTCGTTTGGTCTCGCTGTGGCCATAATCATAAGATAATGACCCACAGATCACAGATAATAGAAGTAAGCATGTCTGCAAAGCCCAATGGATTGCCTCAAATTCACCTCAATCGACTAGTCAAAAAGCAATGATTAACTGGAAGCAACCACTAAGTCGATTTTAAATTTTCAAATGAAAGTGGAAGGCACTAAAGACGAGTGGATTGAGATGTGCTATCCATCCTATGGGCCCTAAGGACCACAACATCCTCAGTGACCAGCCAATGTCCCTTTGTATTATAACATGTGATCGAGGTTCTTCTCCTAGTTGAATATTCAATGAATTACACGGTTAGAGAGTACTAGTTGCGTCGAACTTTGAAAAATTGGAGTTAGGAGAATGGTTAATGAAGAGCCAAGAAGCGAAGGAAATGATTGTCCACATATTGGAGGAACTTAAGGTCTAAGCGTCGAAAAGAGGAAGGTTATGAAAAGAATGACAAAATACTATAATTCCAATATCGGGATTGAAGGCATTTCGTGTTAGATGTCTAATACTAAGGAAAACAAACACCGCATATCGACAATTTGCTCTTTGTAAATTTGGTTCATTATGGGAGGGACCTTACATTATCAATGAGTGGGGCTTGAGGGTACACAAGCCCTCCATTTTTTATATTTAAAGAAATTGGATATATATATATAATTATTTTTGTGTGGGCAGAGTGCCATGCTTGGGCCCTCCTCTGTATCTTTCTTTCTATTTAATATATTAGCCTTTTTGGGCTTTTAAATATATATATATATATATATATATTGAAAATAATTTCATTATAAATCTTACTCTAAATTTTGATAAAAATAAATTTAAAGTAATTAAAAATAGTTTTAGATGCATAGAATATATTTTTTTGATTATTTATTTGTATATTACTTTATTTAAAAAGCTAAGAACTATAAATTCTTCTTAAACGAATTTTTTTTTAGACTAATGAAAATTATACATTTGAAGGTTATTAATTTAAACAAAAAGCTATGCATGAATCAATTAGAATCAACTCGATTGCTTAATATAAATTAAAATTATGGGGCATTTAAATACATACCCATCCAACTCCGAAGTCATTGGATTCAACCGCTACATTGATGACGAGACTGTAGGATTCTTGAACAAGCCAGAATAAGATAAAAAGGTAGACATGCCTCACGGGTAGAATTTTTTTCTTATTTTTATAGATAACAGTTATTGATCTCATATAGAGCCATCATCATTGTCATTGTGATTTTTACTTCCACCGTACCCTCCCCAATCATCCATTTGGAATTCCAAGGCCATCCTTCTTAGTATTCTGCACTCTGAATTCTTGATTTCCCTGATATATTGCTGGTATAAGACAGCATATATTTGTTCATGCATTTGTTTATTTTTTCTTTTATTTCACCCTTTTCAAGTAGGTAGTCAATTTTTTAGCTTAAGCTACGGTTCAACTGTTATTGTTGTTTAGTATGAAACCAGAACCAACTACCGCATAATGGATATTGATCGCCTTCTATTTTGTACCACAAGATATCTTTGGGCCTCTACTTTGTTTTAACGCAGTAGTATTTTGTTCATGTTTACATAAGCCAAATTGTCTTGTGCCTGAGAGCTTTTTATTGACGTAAAAGTATCTGTAGTTTGACTTGTGAGCTTTACCTTTTTGGTGAAATTCAACTGTTACTAGAGATGACACTTATTTTTACCTTTTAGGTTAAATGTCAACTGTTACTAGAGATGACACTTAGAACTCGATTATGAATTATAGGCTTTCACTAAACTTATCATTTTCTATGATGAGTTAGAAGGTAGAATCTGGTTGTCTTATTTAAGATTTGTCCGGTTGTTTGTTTGTTTTCTCTTTATTGCTTGTTCCTAATTTTTTATGCTGCATCATTTTGCGAAAGAAGCTTTTAGGCGCTATCCTGCTGTTACCTGAATTTTGCTTCATTATTTAATGCTCCCTTACGATGCCTGATAGAGTCCAGTTTCAAATTTTTTTGCGCTCTCTTGCAGTTACGACATGTGATCTTGCTTCTTTGTCAATTTATCAATTATATTGAGGTGACCCGTTTGCCTGTGTATTACCCTTCTGATGAAGAGGAGGGGGATCCTAAACTTTTTGCTAGCAATGTTCGAAAGTTGATGGCTTCTGAGGTATTAATTAGTTTCCATTTTGCCTTGTTTTTTGTTATCAGCCAAATCTTGTTGTAATGAAGTGAATTGTATATGCATGGGAAATTGATAATACATGTCAACCTTTGGGCTTTACCTTTTTTATAGTACTATTTGTCACCATCAAGTTGACACACTTGTGTAGATGATTGAACTCTCTTACCAACACTTGATAGCAGGTAGATTCATGCTTTTGAAATGGTATCATAGGAGTTGACACTTTCGAAGTTTACACAATATTATCATGACTTCAAAAATCGGATTAGACAAGCTGGCAGATTAGTTCAACAATGAACATGTCCTCTGGATTATTCGGTTTAGGCCCAGAGCTGTTTTAGATGGCATTCGCCTGTGGAATCTGTGAAGAGATTTGAATTCATAAATTGTTGAGGGAATTGGAGTGTACCTTTAATAGGCCTGTAAGAATATTTTCCGACAGCCATGCAACTATAAGTATTGCTAAGAACCCTGCACATCATGATAGGGCCAAACATAATGGTGTAATTATAAAACTAAGCTATATTCCGACACACCATCAAGTTGTTGATGCCTTCATCGAAGCTCTTCCTTTAAAAAAAATTTCACAGTTTAATTCCATGCTTGGTCTCTACAACATCTACGGCCTAGCTTGAGGCGGAGTGTAGAAATCTTTTCGATGGTAGACCCAGGCCGACCATCCAAAGGGTAATGGATGGATTAATTGGAGATAATTTGGGAAACTTGTCTATGGATTTTATTCTCTTCCAATTTATATTTATTTTTGAATAGTTCTGTTCATTGTAAATAAGGAGAGACCGGTTTCCTTGTATATGTAGCCTTTTGGTTGAAGATTGGTGATGAAGTGAGTATTCCCTCACATTTGTCTTTAATATTTACCAAAAAAGAATTTCCATCTCCACTCACAATTTAAGAGCCAGAAAAAAGAAAAACAGCACAAATAAAATCATATTTAAATTGTTTGGGGCATTTTATGTTAAGTATAGTTGAGAAACATTGAAACCAAAATTCATAGAAGTGAAAAGAGCACATTAAAAGGTGCCAGTGCATTGATGAGAGTAAAAAGTTGTAGAAAATACATTTAAAATCAAATTTATGAGTCAGTGTAGAACAAGGTTTTGCTTTCAATCGAACATATTACACAAAGCCAAACGACCATATACCTGGACAAAAAGTTGGAACTTATGCTTGTTTTAACTTTAATCCTACTAGGCAAATTTGTATTCGTAAGAGCTTATAGTATGCAAAAAAGCAGAACGAGGAAAATACACATTTAATTTTTTCTACAAGTATTCTTGTAGACCTTAAAATCAAAACTAAACTGGAATAAAAGCAATTGCAATGCCTATTACTGCAGCCTACCTCATAGTTTTCACGGCATGTTTTGAGATATTTGTGGTAAATAAGAATATAGCTTTGGCCTTATTTTTTAAATGCATTGGTAAAACCCTTATTTTTAGTAGTTTAAGTGGACTTTTAAACCCAAGATATTCCCACATTACTGAATGATGAGTGATCTGAAACTCCTGGACTTGAGCATCTCATGGTGGCGATGATGATATTTCACTTACTTAAAATAAGGATCACGCTTAAGTAAATATTCTGCAACAAATGGACAATTGGAAGGAGAAAAGCAGATAATTACACCACCAGAATCATATTATTAGCCTAATCCATAGCAAACCATCAATCTATCTAAAGGAAATCTAAACAATTTATCCCAACGGCAGCATAAACATGTTGAAGAGAAGGGAAAAAACTTACAATATGTTTTAATGCAATAAAATATCTTCATCAAATAAAAAAGCATCACAACTTTCATTCAGAGCCTCACTATCACTGTTTAAACCAAAAATTCTCAAAAATCTTGAAACTGCTGATTCAATAGATGTAAAAAAAACCAGGCAATTTTCACAATTAGAAGGAATAAATTGATCAAGGTTCAGATGCCTTAATTTAGTAATGCAGGGATGATCTTACCAATGCTCGCTTGCATAACTTGCAATTTAGTAATGCAGGGATGATCTTACCAATGCTCTTCATAACGGACTTGAAGACACTGAAAAAATTCCATACTCTTCCGTATTAATTCCGTAAATACCAGAAGCTTATCTATTAATTTTCTTTGGCATTTAGTTCACACAAATTGAACTTCCCTTATTAACTGTAGATTGCCATACCTAATCCATGACTTCTGAGGCTATGATGATGGTGGTGTTTACTTTCCATTCTAAATGCTTTTTGTGCATGCTAACCCATTTGTGTTTTTCTTAGACCAACGAACAAATAGGTCTGTATACTCTCATACACAGGAAACCAAAATGTTCATGTTCATCAAATGGATTTTTACAATGCATTGTTGATCTGTATTCTGTAGGGAAATTTGATACTTTCAGACATTGGTTTACCAGAGAAGCGAATCTACCATGCCGCGCTGAATGGTAATAGTCTCCCTCGTGTTTTACATCAGAAAGATGATTGAAAACTCATGCTCTCATGGTGGTTAGTCTATATTACTTGTTTTAGTGAAGATGAACAACTATGCATGTTCTGTTGTAAGTTCTTCCTCCATTATTTTATTTAGAAAGGCTTTCATGCCTTTTGAGTCTACATGAACCATGTTCATAAGTTCTATGGTCTGGAGTCCTGTACAGTTTGATGAATTGTAGAGAACATACATTGTTGTGTTGAACATGAGCCATAATCTGTCATTCTTTCTTACTACAGACTATTATTCGTGTTCAGTATGAATATTGTATGTTTTCTTGGCAAACTAAAGCACGTGTTTGGTCTTCCTGCAGGTTTGTTTAATCAAAGCTAGTTCGGATTTGCGACCTGTAAATTCTCCCTTTTCTGATATTCTAATTTTAATACTTAGAAAATAGGAATGAATGCATTGGACTGGGTGTTTATTTCTTACCTGCATTTAAAATCTCAACGCTCGTGTAAAGTAGTTCTTTCGTTGAAGAATGTCACCATGGAGTATCTTAATCTTGACATGACACATGTGGGAAAAAGTTAAATAAGCTCAGGGATTTTTTGAGTTAATTTCTGATTTAAATACCATTGCTCGAGAATAGCGTTCAGATCTGATCAATATGATTTTATTAATCCTTTATTCTTTCAACATTATTAAAGCTTCAACAAGCAAAATGTGCGATATGTTGACTGGTAATGATATGTGATGCTTGGAAATAGATTAGGACGACGTGCGGTGTTTTTGAAAGGTTACGGTCTGATTGTTCTCTATGGTTTCATTCATTAGAAAATTTACATACCAGAATTTTTATGTATTTACACAACTAACATCTGAAATTTTATATTTACATTTATAACTCTTTATTGTCATAGGCTTATGCATGAAAATGTGTATTTCACTTTTAAATAAGTAATGATATTATTTTTGATGTTTTGTTGGAGATATGAATGCTATGACAATGTGTATTTCACTTTTAAAAATTAATGATTGGATGGTGGATTGATGTTGGGGATGTTTCGCCACTATTTGAAGAAAAAAAGTTAAAGCTGTCTAAATCAGGGATCATGGAGAAAAGTTTTCAAATAACACAAATCAAAAGCAAAAGTCTCTCATTAGGCTCTAAAATATTATATTTATATTATAACATAAATTAAAGTTAATTAGGCTTTAAAATATAGTAAATAGAGACCCCCACGATTAGGGCTGTCAAAACAACTGTTTGTTTGTGAATAATTCGTGTTCGACTCGTTATATAGTTTGTGTTTGATTTGTTCGTTAGGCAAACGAGATGAACACAATTTTTTTTGTGCTTGATATAAAAACAAGATGAACACGGATAAAGTTTTGTTCGTTTGTGTTTAACTTATTTTGGCTCAAAATAATATAAAGTTGATGAGTATTATTTTCTTAATTGTTTACTTGACTACAAGCCAACAAATATTTATAATCAATTGAAATTATTATTTTTTTAAAAAATAGAATAAATATATATTAAATTATATTCAGATGAGTATTTTAATATAAATAATAAGATTTAAATCTCACTCATGCACTTAAACATCTTACGATTATGTAATTAGGATTATCAAAATGGCTCGTTGTTCGCGAATAACTCGTGTTCAACTTGCTGAGCAAACGCGTTGAAGACGAACATATTTTTTGAGCTTGATATATAAACAAGTCAAATATGAACAGTTGTATTTTTAACGAGTCGAACACGAGTTGGGGCTCATATACACTCCTACCCAAGACTCAACAGTAATAGACATGTGAGAAATTTCCCACTACAGGACTCTAAGGGTAAGAATTTAATCTTGCACATTTGATCCACTTGTTCGAGAGATTATGAAACTCGCACTCGCAACAATCTCCTCGAGTAGATGTCTTGCATTCTTCTCTAGAAACATTAAAATCCTTCTCTTACGGTGAAAATTCAGTGTCATTAAATATAATAGAATTAATATTCTTCTAATAGATCAATCATTACAAGTATTGCTATTAATTTTCTTGACTTCAAAATGAATCACCATTTTCAAGTCTGAGCTTTTCAAACGAACTTGTAGGTAACCTCTTCTTTTTCTTCAACCTGATCCATATTAACTCCTTTTTTTTTGAAAACCTGAGAGTCGTGTCAGTACGTGCGGTGCGTAGCACCGCTCCGCCCAACGAAGGCCTGATGTCGGGCTCGTGTTTTTTACCGGTTCCCTTGGCGCCAATGTGCGTCGGTTTGGGGTTTCAACCGTCCTCCATCGCGCCCCCCTCCGAACGAGGGGGGTGATGGCGGGGGCGGTCGTTTAGCGGCGGTCGTCGCTGTCATTTAGTTCATGGGTTATCCGAATCGCTCGATATAATTTCGGTCTCGACAATGATCCTTCCGTAGGTTCACCTACGGAAACCTTGTTACGACTTCTTCGTCTTCTAAATGATAAGGTTCAATGGACTTCTCACAGTGTCACCTCTATGTTTCATGTTACGACATAATCTCTCGAACAAGTTAAGTTTCTGCCTCATGTCTCATGTAAGGTTTGTATTTCTCTAACTCTGGCCTCTATGTTAATATTAAGCTCAATAGCTTGAAGTATCGACACTAATTGTAATTGTGTGAGAGACTTTAATTTGCTTGTAAATAATCATAAATGGGTTCTTACCCGATGACCGACTTTTGGATTGGTGGTAATAAAACTCAACTTTGATAATAAAATCTCACTACCTGATATTCTCACCTACAAAGTGCTTTAAGTGATTTCTCAAAGTACAATTTGCCACCTATGTTTTCCCATCAGTATGAGGGTGAGTTGGTAAACTGAATGGAAGTTTTATTTTATACTTACTTCATAGGGTGTACCAGAAATGACTCAAAATTTTCACATCCATATCTAAAGTGATGTTCCTAGATATACTTTCTGGGCTAACTTCCAATATGAAGTATAACTTGGTAATGCACGGGGCATCCATCATCTTATGTTAGGGTATAAAGGGTGTTTTCTTAAAAAAAAAGATCTACCACTATCACAATTGAATCATTGCATTGTTGGGTCTAAAGAAAACCCACCATGAAAACTATGCTCACATCCACCAACGATAACTTTGGAATAGGGATGAGAGTGTATAGACCCATATTCATCCTTCGATTCCTGGCTAACTGTCTAATATGTTTGTCCATTTCTCCTAGCACTCTACGTTAATCAGAATCCTCCCTCACTAAAGAAAGAGTTTTATTTCTACAAAAAATCTCATCACCCCCTATATGACACTCCTATAAACTACTTTCTTATGTGAACTCCGAGAAATATGTTTTGGATTTGTGATATTGCACATATGATTTATACTACCAACATATCTAAAAATCTTGAAAATTTTCTTCAACAACATTAATATCCTTCAACACTTCAAAACTAACGATATTAGACTACATCATAATGATTAATAAGGGCAATGACTTAGTGTACGTGCTACTTTATTTTGACTAACTAACTTTTGCTTGAGGACAAAATAAAACAAAAAGAGAAATTTTATTAATGAGGCATATTTATCCTTAAGGCTACTCTAGTTTTTCAAGAATATCCGGGCCTCGTGGTCAGTATAGACAATGAACTCCATCGCCAACAAAAATAACTTCAATGACTGTGGGATCACATAGTGGAACAAAACACCTTATTGTCAGTCGAGTAGTTTCTTTAGATTAATGTGATTTTTTAGTAAAGAAAGTAATAGGGCGTCCTTGACTTAACACACCTCCAATCCCCACATTGGATGCATTACACTTCTCTTAGAGCACCTATTGATGTTTAGAAGTGCTACAATAAGGGCCTAAGTAATATATTTCTTCAAAGCATCAAAATTAACATGGGCCTCTTCTATCCAAGTAAATTTATCTGTCTTGTAAGGGTTTGTCAAGGGTAGAATAATAAAGCTAAAGTTTCTTATAAAACTCTTATAAACAAAAGTTAATTTATAAAACAGGTGTACTTGAGTACATGACAGTGGTTTAGGCTAGTCCACAATAGACTCAAACTTCATTACTTCCATCTTAATACCGATAACTGGAATAACATACCCTACAAAGCCTATATGTTGTGTAAGAAAATGGTACTTTTTCAAATAAATCAAACAATTGCTTTATTCGAAGAACACCAAACATTTATTGTAAGTGCTACAACTGTTTATCCTCTAAACAATTGTGTACCAACCACAAACTTCCCAATTAAAACTCAAAAAATTTGATTCATCATCTATATAAAAGTGTTTGGTGCATCGAACAACCCAAAAAGGATGATTATCAAATCATTCAATCCATCTTGTGTTTTGAATGCCATCTTTCACTCGTCTCTTGATCTCATCTTAATTTGATTATAATAGCTATACAAATCAATCTTGGAGAAGACACTGACTCCATATAATTAATAAAGTTAATCATTCAATCTCAAAATGAGAAATAGGTACTTTGAATGCCTCTTGATCTCATCCTGATTTGTGTTTGGTGCATCAGACAACCAAAAAAGGATGATTATCAAATCATTCAATCCATCTTTTGTTTTGAATGCCATCTTGCACTCGTCTCTTGGTCTCATCCTGATTTGATTATAATAGCTATACAAGTCAATCTTGGAGCAGACACTGACTCCATATAATTAATAAAGTAAATCATTCAATCTCAAAATGAGAAATAGGAACTTTATTGATTTTTTTTATGATCATGCTATCAATGCACATGTACCACAACCCATTCCTTTTAGGGACAATCAAAGTGAACACAACACATTGATTAATGTTCTCATAAACTAGCCATTGGCTATCAGATCTTCAACCCTATTATACAACTCTTCATATTCTTCTAATTGCATCTAGTAAGTTGGTCGTTTGGGAAGAACTGATCCTCAGATGAGGTCAATAGTTTGTTGAATCTCTTGTATGTATGATAATCCATGTGATAGGATATCAAACAGAATATCTCAAAACTCCTTTGCTAGAGGTCATAGTGCCTAAGATATTGGCTTCTCTACCTCATTACCCTCTAACATCACCAAAGCTACTTCTAATATCACCTCTCTCACGGCATATAGAAATGTAGAATGATGCACAATAACTCTTTTGTTTATTTAAGACTCAACATGACTAACTTCTTAAATGATAGAAATATAATATATATTTTAATCCATGAAAAGTGAGGAGGTGTCTTTATGGCCATCATGAAGTATACTCTAATCATATTGTCACAGTCGACC